ATTATCTAGCGTTGAAATAAAAAAAGTCTTAACCCTAATTAGACACGGTCATGGGCCGGTTCGGGCCGGTTCATACCGGTTCACGGTTCATTTTTTCCGGAACCGGCCCGTAATATGCACGGTTCGGCGGGCTGGGTCGGCCCGCCGGTTCAATCCGGTTCCGGGCCTATCCGGGCCAGTTCCGGGTTGGCCCGGAAAATTTGAATTTTTTTATTTTTTTTATTTTATTTTTTTTTTTTGAAATATTTGATGAATAAGTAAATTATAGGAAAAATTGGGGTGTGAGGGTATTTATAGGAAAATTTGGGGGGGAAAATAATTAAAAAAAAAGAAGCAAATAACGGCCGGTTCGGGCCGGTTCGGGCGCCGTTATTTGCTTTTTTTTTTTTTTGAATTTTTTTGAATTCTTTTTTCTTTTTTTTTTAGATCCGGGTGAACCGCCGGGCCGGCCCGGCGGTTCACGGTTCACCATTTCATAGAACCGGGCCTGTCCCGGGGACGACGGGCCGGTTCACGGGTTCCGGGCCGATTCTACGGTCAACGGGTTGCGCCGGGTTGTCAACGGGCCGGTTTCGGGTCCAAAACCGAACCATGGCCGTGTCTAACCCCAATGAGATAAAATAAAATTTAAAAAATGGTTATCTATATTTTCCAATATCTTGAAGAAGGAGACGTGACTTATCAAAAAAAAAAAAAAGAAGAAGAAGGAGAAGTGGAAAACCACTCGTAGTAGTGGTTTTGTTCTTTTTTTTTTTTAATTAATGTATTCATAGCTATTTGTACAAGAAAAGGAGGCAGAGTTGAAATCCTTGTCACAAGAAAAATAAAATTTTGTAACCAAAAGTAGGGTGACAATGAATCCTTAATCCTTGTCACTTCTACTTTACATCAATTTATTCCAACACCAAAATGCTCAACTTAAGTTATGCTTTTGTATTATTAAATAAATTCAAAATCAGGCATGTATGGGTACCGCTCAACTAGTTTCGAGGGTGGTAAGGTGTTACAAGAATTAAAATCAAAACTCAGAATGCGACTGAACTTATGGAGCGATTAAATTAAATTGCGCATATGTAAAACTAGAATTTAGAAATCAGTTGAGACATATCTGAAAAATGAAAATTTACCTCTTCCAAACAGCAAAGGCAAGAATTTATATTTGATGTTCATCAGTTCATGATTTAATTCAACCAAATTAGTATTTAAATTGAGAGAGAGATAGAGAGAGAGGTCATACAAATAGCATTTTATTCCAATATCCTTAAACATGATAAAAATGGAAAAAAATTATGTTTAACACTTGAACTAACCACATGTCCTCAATAGCTCAACCAAATTATATTTTACATATAGTTCTAATACGCCCTTTTTGATAAATTTGATTGGGTCTGAAAATACTCATTCTTCTAACTACAAATTTGAAGGAAAAAAAATAAATAAATAACCGCATCCAATTCAATTTTTCCATTAATTATATTATTCGGTGGCATAATTTGAAGCCCGTAGTACTTAAGACCGGCTACTTAACTAATAGTTTATTTGATAGTAGATTTGGGGTTCATTCTACACCACATCAAGTAAAATTCGTTGGGTACATAATCACTGTTGATTTACACACTCATCCATCTTTGTGTGCGCAAATAAACGACGATGATGTATCTAGTGTAGAATTCACAGTTATAGTATGGAGTCTATAGATATATCTTTAGGAGTAATATTTACAAAAAAACATTTGAAACATATATAACATAAATCTTATAAAAAAATATAATTATGGCATACATGGATACAATTACAATCAGATTCCACAATTATTTCTTTAGCTCTAGTGGATGGTCCACTAAATTAAATTGCAAATTTAATTTGTCACCTAAATAATTTTATGATTCTCATCATGATATACCTATTGGATCAGTTCAATGGACCTATGATTTATTTATTTACTGAGTAACGGGCCAAATTTAGAAATTATTACTACAAAAGTTCAATCACATTCAAATAAGGTTTGGGCCCGATAAATTGATATCGACCGAGCAAGGAACTATAAATAGAATTTAATACATTAAATTAAGGTACGTTATTTTTACTCAAGCAATCCAATTATTTTAATTCTCTCGAATATTTCACGATCCAAGTATCTAACTTAAACATCGGAGGGGCTTCCGCCGGACCAACCCCGGTTTAGTTCAAGTTTACTTTTTACCTAGGAATCTACAAATTCTTCAAGTTAGCCACTCTCCTAAACGTAATCCATTTTTTTCGGGAATTTCAAATTATTGAGAAGCTTCATGGAATCTGGATGCATATTTCCTCAAACGCGCTTCGCACTTTTGTTTAAGAGACTGGAAAGATCACTCATATCTTCATAGACCAAAATCAAGTGGCGGATGCTTCGGCCAAAGAAGCTCACAATGTCATGTTATAGGGTTTCGGATATTCCGGATTGAATCAAGAAACTCGTGTTTTTATTATATATCTTCGGATGATTTGTAATCAGTTGGGGTACTATTTCCTTGATCGGAGCAAGGTTTTAACTAGGCCCTAGTATTTTGTTTTTAAGTGATATTATACAAAATCTTAAATCTCCAAAAATAAAATAAAATAATAATAATAATAACAATATTCATTAACATTGAAAAACACAAGTTGTTTATGAAGATTACTGGGAGAAATTGTACGTGTTTACTCTAATCTCCTTGTCGCTTTACAAATGATCATCAGTTGAGACTTGAGACTAAATAACTTCTTTTATAACAAATATTTATGTATGAATCCAAGTGAATCTAATCGAATTAGGGGTAAAAAAACGGGTGAATTGGATGGTATTTAGCATTTTCTTTAAAAAATTTGTAGTGTTTCTTGGAAGTAAGAGAATAATTCTAATCACAATTAAAAAAAAATGGAAATTGGAATTAAAAAGAATCTTCCATAAATTGGAGTTTTTTGGAATAAAAAAATCGTAGGAAATCCAATCCAATTTTGTATTCACATATATGATGTAAAATACATAATAATATTGATATATAAGTTTACTTTCCAATTTTATATTTTTTTATTTTCCTGAATAATTTTTTGAATCGAAAAACAAAAATAATGTTCTAATTCCGACACACACACAAAAATATTGACGAGATTGGATTTCAAAATGTTTTTCATTTTATAAGTGAAATATTTTAGATCAAAATGGGCCAAATTTGAAATTTTGTTCCAATTTGGCAAATTTGCTTCCCTATAGCTGATAGCTCTATCTATTCACGTGCTAAATGCTAAAGTATGATGACCTACCATCCCCACCAAAAAAGCAAAGGTATACTTTTCTCATTATTGCTTGATATTATGGTCCAACAAATATTCCTTAATTTATTGTTATG